GGAATTTCTGGACGCAGCTTCCCTCGCGGTCACTGAAGCCGGCGGCACGTTCCCCAGGAGCATTTTCCGCGCGTCGGGAGGAACGAGACTTCCGCTCGCGTCTTCCAGAAAAGTCGGCCGGCCGGCCCAACCGTTTCCTCCCTGTCGTGTCGCGGGACTCCATAAACGCGTCCGACGGCTTCCCCTCTCCTTCGGCCTCATCTCCGTCCGCCGCCTCATCGGGAACGCGGAAGCGCTTGCCGCTTCTCCTTTGGCTCTGTCCGTTGTCGTCCTCGCCGCGCCTCTTCCGAGACGCTCGGGGCGGAGAGACTCCCTCGGTGTCTTCCAAGTCGGCGCCGCCGTCCGACTCGTCGCGCCGCCGCCTCGAAGACGTCGGCTTCATCATCTCAGAGCGGCGCCCGGCCCCCTTTCTCGACATCCGCCACGACGGTCCGGGCTGCGGGTCTTCGTCGGAAGAAAGTCCCCCTTTCCCGGCCGCGCGGCGAGAAAGCGCACGGTCGCGTTCGGGCACTTTGGAAAAGTCACGGCGGGGTTCCGACGTCTCTCGTGAATCCGAGTCGTCCCGCGACCGCCGCTCGTTTTCTTCGGGACGGTCCCGGTCGGCGCTTTTCTCAGACGCGTCACGGTCCCATCCGCGGATCCAACTCTTGCCGCCGCTCGCCCTTTCCGTCCGGCGGCCGGCCGGACCTTCGGAACTCTTCCCGAACGGAGCGAGCGCCGTCTCGCGCTCCGTCTCTCCTTCGATAAAGTCGTCGGAGCTCTCCTCGGAACGGGACGCCTCCGGAGCCGCCTCGCGGTCAACGACGCTTTCGGAAAGGTCAGCGGCACGGCCGGCGGGAAATTCTCCCGAGGGTTTGGACTCGGTGTCGCCGCTTTCATCTTGCCAGTCCAAGCTTCGGTTCCATCCGCAAAGTAGAGGATTGACTTGGTAGAAATCAAAGTCCGGGCTACTGTCGGAACTTTTCGGACGAAACTCGCGCCAGCACGGGAAACGTCCGTTGCGCCCCGTTTCGTCTCCCTCTCCGTCATCGTCTTCAGACCTCTGCCGGGACGGTCCCGCCGGCCGAGGTTCTCCGTCGGCTTCGTCCAAGTCCGCGTTGCTCTCCGAGGTATTGTCCAAAGCGGAGGATCTCCTCCTGCGCTCGCCGCTTCCGCGTTCGGCGGCAGTGGCGTCGTCGTTCGTAGAACGCTCCCTGGATCGCTCCCTGGATCGCTGGGATGACCGCTCGACCTCTTCCGTACGCCCGTCGACGTCCGCCCGGACCTCGGCCCCAACAGCGGCGTCGCGCGGTCGATCGTTCGGGTCTTCCGCGTTGTTGATGGGAACGGGGTTATTATTGGGAATGTTGTCATCCAGATCCCACGGCTCGGGATCGTTCGCAAAGACGATCTCTTGATTGACGATAAAGTCGAGGATGGCGACGAACTCCAGGTTGGGCTCGTCGTTCGGTGGCCGGAGACCTCTCGGCAATGGCAGACGGATACCTGCGCGGTCGTGGTCGACACATGCGCCGTTACCGGAACGGTTCGTACAAAAGGCCGTCGGACATCGAGAGCGGAGGAACTTACTATTCGGCCCGTTGTGCCATCCGTCCCCTTGTCCGTCCATTTTGCCTAGAAGACATCCAGGAAGCGGTTACATGACACGTTTCACACCGGGAGCGCTCACTCTGTGAAGTCTCACGGGAGAGCACCCCCCAAAAGAAAGAAAGAAAGAAAGAAAGAAAGGTCACCAAACGTAAAGCCAAAAACCAAGATTCTTACCTGTGTTCAGGGAAGCGTCGTATTGAACAGCGGTCGGTTTGTGTCATGCCTGAGTCGTGATCACGCTGACCCGAACTGAGCAAGTTGCAACGTCAAAGTCAACGGCGCTGTCAGAGCGGCATCTGGAAAGCGTTTCATGAGAGGTCGCGCCATGCGCTTCAAACGTCAACGGACGGCACATAAAAACATCTCCTGCGGGAGAAACGACGGTGGCGCTTTCGTGTCACGGCGACATGTCTACAAACGGAATCGGACGCGACCAAAGCGACCAAAGCGCGTGATGCGACGGCACGCCGTCGCATCATCGTGATGATTCATATAGTGGGCGTGATGTCACTTTCGACGTCGGGCATCACGCTCGGCAAGTCGCAAACATCCAAAGAAACCGAGCTGCGTTTTCAACCGTCGACGGACTTGCCCTTCTACGACCCCGGACGCTCCGCAAAAATCGATCCGCCTTTCTCCCCTCCACTTGGGCACACTTGACGGCTGACGACGAGGCGCTCTCGAGTGGCCGCTCCTGCTTCCAGGCCCCCCCGCCTCCCCCACGGCGATGCCCGCGCACTCGTGGCCTACAACGCGGCGCTCCTGGAGCCGGTCCCCGAAGGGAACATGCGTTTTCGGGGGGCCGGCCTCGCTCGCCAGCGAGATGCGCTGCCCGAGTTGGTCGCTATATCGTCGGGGAGGGACCGTCTCATGTCTTCATTCAGAAATAAGTCGCGCCCGCCCGGGGTCTTGGAATATCTCAAAGACTGACAGATTGGTGAAAAGGCCACGGGCAAAATCTCCCGGCGTTTCCCGCTCAGCCCGGGGCAAGAAAATGGATCCCAATGAGCCGAGGGGAGGCCTTTTATTTTTTGGATGCGCCCGACGTGGCTTTCATTCGCAAAAAGTCGGGAGAAGCATCCGTGGCTTTGCAATGAATTTCATGGCACGCTCTCGACGGGCCGGCTACTTCCGCCGGCCTTTCGGCGGGCGCCGCGGTCAGCGGGTCGCCCTCCAAGTCTGGCTCCCAGAACGCCCCCCCTCCTCAGAAGCTCCGCCGCCCTGGGCCGAGACGGCGGATGGCCGCCGGAGCTCACGAGGCGCGCGTCGGACCGCGCCTGGAGCGCGGGGGCCCTTCGACGTCGCCGACGTCCCGCTCGCCGCCGTCGGAACTGTCGCCGTCAAACTCGTCCCACCACCGGAAGCCGCCGCCGTCTCCCTCCTCGTCGCCTTTGCGGATATTCCCGGAGGAGCCGAGCCGAGGGTCGTCTTCCTCCTCCGCGCTCGCCGCGTCTCCGATCTCCACCTCGGCCCCGACGGCCGCTTCCGGCCGATCGTCGTCGTCGACGATCGTGTCGACGTCGTCTCCGTTGTCCCCGACGTCGGCGCCGAGGTCATCGTCCGGCCACGGCTCGCCCTCGTTCACGAAGACGATCTCCTGGTTGACGATAAAGTCCAGAACCACGACGTACTCCATGTTGGGGTCATCGTTGGGCGGGCGATTTCCAATGAGCAGCGGAATATGGTAACCTGAAATTCATCGAGACACGGAAACCGCCGTCAACGTCGAAAAAGGCCGGGGGGGGTTGGCCCGAAACGGCGAGGCAACTTACTACTCGGGCCGTTGTGCCACCCGTCCCCTTGTCCGTCCATTTGGTCTGAAAGGAATCCAAAATCCGTGACAGACGGCGCGCCCGCAAAACATTTGGAGACATCGCCGCACGTCGACTCGGCAAGAAGAGCGAGCGCGCGCTGCCTCCGACGGCCTCCGTGAAATTCAAATTCTGGAACAGTGCCCATTTGCAGCCATGTTCGCGGACGCCCTTTCGAGGCTCGGGGTCAAACGAGATATTGTCATTTATGGGGGGGGGAAATAAAACAAAACAAAAAACAAAAACCTCTCAATATTTGCTCCGAAAAAACGTAGCGTAGATAGATGGCAGACAAAAATGCCGTCACGTTTGCGGGTCATTTGGATTTAGGCGGCGCAGAGGGCCGGCCTCGGAAGCCGGCCTCTCTGGCTCTCCTCTCGAGAGTTCGCACGCTCACGACCTTTGTGGGGTCAAGCGCTTCGGATTAGGGATGAAATTTGGATTTGAAAAAAAATACGCGAATAAGCCCCGCCCCACGACATCAAAGAAATGCGTTCGCCTTCATGGCGAACGGATTCCCCGATGGTTCGGCCATTGGAAAACACGCCTCGTATGGACATACCTTTACTCCGGGAACCCGCTCGTGGATAAGCAAGAAAAACATTCAGGTGACTAATTTCGAGGCTAATCTTTGTGATTGTAAACAAACCAAAATGCTCAAAAGATCAGCTAAGAAAAAAAAAAAAAATGGAACAAAAGATGCATGCATAGTAGAAGGGAGGCTTTAATACTCTGTGTCATCGTCAGCTCTTTGTTACCATTCTTCCCAAATGCTTTGAACAAAGCAACGGATGTCATCAACACAACATGGCGCGATGTCGCTCCCGAGCGGGACGGCCCAACTGTTTTGAGACGGCGACGTGCCCCCCGTTGCTCAGTCCGACCGGCCAAGAGAAGAGTCGTCCGTCGTCTGACCGGTCGCGGCGTCTACGGCACGATTGCGCGACGGTCCCCTTACGTTACGGAAAAGTCTCGGGATACTCGGTCGTGACACGTCCTCGCGATGCTAGTTGTTGGTTCTCGATGAGCCGAGCGCGGCCCCGTCCGACCGGAGACAAATCCCTCCCCTCCCTCGGCGCGTTTCCGCATACTTGGCCGATTCCGATTGGGAAAAAGCCGACGTCGGACCGGCATTTTCACGGGAAGGTACGAGAAGAAATGTCGCTTGTCGGGCACTTTCCTTCCATTGGGAAAATGGTAAATGTGGATTTAGATATAAATCATAATCTTCCAGCGGCATTTCATCGCCGGTCGCTCAACGGGCAGCGTTGATCAAGAACGTTTCCTCTCTCTCTCGATACGGATACAGATGGCTAGCTAGTCAATGACCTATTGGGTTGCTCGAGTTCGGATCGGCTCCGATTCGGGTCACGGTTGTGACGTCGCGCCGACGGCGTGACCGGAGCTCAAGTCGCGCCGCTCCTTTCGCGGCCGAGCGGTGGGGCGGGGGAGGGGGGGGGGCGGGTTGGCCTGTCGCAACTGACGCTCTCCGGAGGAAGTTAGTGTCGCACGCGCGCACGCACGCGCGGGGCTCAAGTCGCGCCGCTCTTTTCGGGGCGGGGGGGGGGGGGGGGGGGGGGGGGGGGTCGGTTTGGCCCGCGGTCGCGGCGCACGTCACTTCGGCCTCGACCGCTCCGAGCCGCCATCAAATCAGCGATTCCGAGCGACGGGCGGAATTCTCCCCGCTGGGCTCGTGGATCGCGAGGGCGCAAAATCTCTCCGGCCGTCCGCGCTTCGGTCCTCCCGGTGGTCTCGCGAGCCGTCCGGGGGGGCGGCGGTCCTCCGAGGCTCGGGCCGGGCGTCGTCCGAGTCGCTGTCAGAGGCGTCGTCGTGTCGAAAACGCTTCTGGTCGCTTCCCGTTTCGCACGGCGCTCCTCCCTCTCCGCGCCGCCTCTTCCTGGACGATTCCCGGTCGGCGTCCCGCTCGCTCGAGCGACGGCCAAAGTCCTCGTCCTCCGAGTTGGACAGGAAGTTCTTCTTGCGGGTTTTCTTGCCCCCCCCTCTGTCGTCTTGCCAATCCACGTCGTCGCTCGACCGCCGCTTGGAGGCGTCGCGGCGGTCGGGCCGGTCCTCTTCTTCGCCCGAGTTGTCGGAAAAAGTGTCGGAATTGGACTCGTCCCACCACTGGAATTGTTTGCCCCCGTCGGCGTCGTCCCGGTCCTGGACGGAACTCTCCCCCGACGGTCCGGGCAGAGGATCGTCCGAGACTTCGGGGCCCACCGGATCCTTCCTCTCCTCGTCGGCGACGGCCCCGACGACGCCGCCGTCGCGGAGGTTTTGGCGCTCGTGGTCGATGTCTTCAAAGCCCTCGTCGTCGCGACAGTCGCCGTCTTCCAAGGCGGCGTCGTCGTCGCGGAAGCTCCGGTCTTGGTCGTCACTGTTGTTGTTTTCGAAACCGTCGTCTTCGTCGTCGATGTTCTCCACGTTGGCGTCGCCGTTCTGTTCTTCGTTGTTGTCGATCTCGTCAAAGTCGTCGTTGTTGACCAAACGCAACTCGAGGAAGATGTCGTCGAAGACGTCGCCGTGCTGCAGCGGCCTGACGCGTATCCGGAAGAGGAGCACGGCGTTCTCGTCGTTCAAGTGCACGTCGTTGGGGTTGGGATTGTCGGCGTGGTAGTCGGGGTGGGCGCCGTGGTCGTTGTCCTCCACGTCGCCGTCGTTGTCCTCCACGTCGGCGTCGCCGTCGCTGTCTTCCGTTTCGTCCTCGTCCTCGATGTTGTCGTTGTCCTCGACGTTTTCCTCCCGGTCGGCGTCGTCGACGTTGCCGTCGTCCTCTTCGATATTGTCCTCGTCCTCGATGTTTTCGTCCTGGATGTTTTCGTCCTCGTCGTTGTCCTCCGTGTTGCCGTCGTCGTCGTGCGCGTCGTCGTCGTCGTCGGGCGGCCTGATCATGGCGTTGGCGAAGAAGATGATCTCCTGGTTCAAAATGAAAACCCTCAGGCCCAGGGTCTCCATATTGCGTGCGCCGTTCCCGATGGGCAGCGGAATACGGTAGCCTGCAACACAGGCCACGCGCGCAGATGAGAACTATCGTCGGCGCGGAACGGTACGCCGACCCGGTTCGGCCGCTCCCATCCGACGCCGAGTACTTACAATTGGGACCGTTGTGCCGTCCGTCCCCTTGTCCTTCCATGTCACCTAAAAGAGACAAAGGCCGCGGGTCAATCAAACTTCCCGGCCGCTTGGGCGGGCAAAGGAAGGGCCCCCGAGGCGCCGTTCCAAAACAAAGCAACCGGAGAAAAGCTCAAATTGGCGGAGTGTTGCAACGACAGATGGCCGCGTCATTCGGAGGCTTTCGCGGCCGTCGTCCGACCATCCGTCGCGACAAGGGACAAAAGCGCTTCCCGAAGACCGAGGGGGAAAGGGAGGACGCTCGGGCCCCGCCTCCACGAGCGACGTATTGCCCGGACGACAAGACGTCAGAAGGAAAGGAGCGTTTGCCGCACGGCGACGGTGACGGTGACGAGGACGCGGCCGGAGAGGCCCGACTTTGGAAGGAAGCGCTTACCTTGGCTTGGGGGAAAAGCTGCACTGGACTAAGCTGTTTGCCCTCGGCGGTAACATAGAGGCTCCCTCTGCGCCATTTTGGGCCTGGTCATGCTGATGTGGAGCGGGGCATCGTGAGGACGCCAACTTGCGAGCGGCGCCGGTGGCAGGCGGACGGGGGCGGCGGCGGGGAGCCCGGCGGTCTGCGGCTTTATTGCTCTGTGACATCGCCGCGTCTTGCCATCGAACGGCTTTGAAACAAAACACTTCATGACAATGACATAATGGCATGCATGAGCGTGATGTCACATCGACAGCGTTTCTCGGGCGCCCTCGCCTTGACGTCGGAACCGTCTCCGTCCGTCGTCTCGGTAAAGGGCGGCGGTTGGCCTTTTGCCGTTTTGTTCAACGCTCGAGGCCGAGAGCGGCGCCCATCGATGTTCTTCCGCGGCACGCCGCCCGCCTCCTGAAAAGCCCCCGCCGCGAATCATTCGTTTCCCCTCCCTTGCCTGTTGCCCGCGTCGTCCCTAAAAAGCCACACGGGTGACCTCGTCGTCACCGCCGCCCCAAGCGCAAGCGGGGCTGCAGGCGGGGCTGAAGGGCAGCGTTGGCCGAAGAGCTCTCTCTTGCCACCGGGTGGCGATGTTGCTTCACTTGGCCAACGTGGCTTCTGTCGCTAGCAACTCCTTCCAACATCCGCCGGGAGCAACGAAACGGGGACGTCGATGGAGCGCCGATTTGTTCTTCCCGAGCAGGTGCCCGGAGGTGACGCCCCTTGGATCCGGGGCCAATCGTTTCCCGAACCGACGGCCTCGGGAGCAGGCGCCGACACGAGCTTCTTCTTGTGTTTTCCGTGAGCTGGCGAGTATCCTTCCCAGAAAAGGTTTTCTCCCGTCACAGCGACGGGTCATCTTTCCGGGGCCGCTTCGGGGTCGTACGAGGGGCCGGGGCGGCTCATTTGAACGCGATCCTCCCGTTCGGCTCCGGAAAGACGGAACGAGTCGAAGGAGGAGGGCTTCCGCGGGCAGCGAGGGCCGCCGTCGACGCCGCCCGCTCAAACGATCAGCTCTGATCACTTGTATGGGGAAACGTCTGAAAAACATGCCGGACAGGGGCGGCCCCCCCCACCCCCCCCCCCCCCCCCCAAGAGAAAAAGGGGAGAGTCCAAGGTGCGTTCCATTTCAAAAAGGCGCTGCCACATTCATTCTGGAAGTCTATGAGCCCCCATTTTTCATCATGGGGGCTCACTTCAGCGATTTCTCATTTGGCAGATTTTGTAGAATGACAAGATGGCTTTCACTCCCCATCTCAATCTAATTGTGCGTGTGTGTGTAGCGGAGTAGCACATGTCGACAGTTGGATTGTAAGACAACGCCCACAGGTGGGCGTTCTTGATCCTTTGCGGGGGGGGGACAATTGACGACATTGGAATTTGGTGGCAGCTCACCAGATTAGTGCTGACTGCTGTGTTCTGATACGCTCTGATCATATGTTCTCAAAAAGTACGCCGTGACAGCGTGCCTTTTTTCTTACTTATGGGGGGGACAAAAAGCACACACACAACTTACCTCTCCTCTCTTTGTGGGATACGGCTCTGGCAAGGTCAGCATTGCGGGCTTTCGTCTCGCGGGCGTCCGCTCTTCACCCCCCCAAAGAAGGCGGCCACACTTTGCCACGTGGAATCAAGGAGCTCCCAAACAAAGCGCCGAGCCGAGTCCTGGAACCCAAGACAGAGCGTCAGGCGTACTTGCGGCTCTTTGCGGCACGGCGCGGCGCGGCGCGCGTTTCCCACCCGTCCGCCGAATTGGCCTCAGCCCCGCTTGACCGGGGCGGGGGTTTCCGTTTCCATCGGCCGTTCTTCGGCCCGCGGTCACCCGTTGCGCCCACGTCACGAATCCCGCGGCCGCCGAGACCCAAATCCGGGTCAAGTCGCGGACGCGACGGATGCGTCGAGATCACGCCGGGCGGCAAAGCACTGGAAGAGACACAAAGAGGAGCTTTGAGAACAGCGCCAAAACAACTGGCAGACATCAACTCGACGGCCTTTGGATGCTCACCGGGAAGCGTCCGACGCTTCTGCGGGAAAAGCGCCCCGCGCGGGCGCACGGCTTTGGGGATTGCCGTTTGCCAACCTTGACTTTTTCCAGGCGCATCGTCTGAGAAGGAGTTGCAAAATCACACGGCAGGGCCCAAAAACGCCCCAAAGAGTCCCGCTCGTCGGTTCGCCGTCTGAATGAGAGCGTGCGGGTGTCCCCGACCATGACGGTTTTTCTTTTGCGCTTGCAAGTAAGACGCCTTTCCAAGGTCTGTTTTGGGGGGGCAGGCTAGGTCAACTCTTTTCAAAACTTTCTTTGAAATGAAATACGGTACGGCGGATTTTCGAACCGGGGCGCTCGACGGGGACGAGCGCCTCCTGACGAGACGAGGACCGCGGGGCAGCGGATCGTTCCGCCTCTCGTTTTGAACGCGTGAGCTTTCCTCCGCTCCTCGCAAAGGTGCACTCGCGCGATTGAATTTCGCTCAAAGATGGACCGAGAAGGGCGTCTCGCTACTTTGGGCCACCGTGAAATCGGGCCTCGGCTTGCTCATTGGCTCGCCGCAGCGCTCTCGAATGTTTGACACTCACGAGCACACACGAGGCAGCAGACGATACCCGACATTCCGTCAGTCCCGGCACTAACTCGTGCGGTCTGTGTGTATGAGACCCCCCCGCCCCCCCCTTCAGCGCTCCATCTAATACCCTGTCATCATCGATAACCTCAACTGTGCTGACTCACGGGCTTTTCCCGCCATGGGCCTCGGGCCCGAGTCGGAGCCACGCAGCCTCGCCGCCGTCTCTGTCTGCGTTTTTGCGGATGCGCGCTTTGTTTTGCTTTTGTTTTTGGAAGGGACGCAGCAATCCCGCTTTTTTTTCAGACCGAGTCTGGCGTACAGACACTCGTTGAAGCCCCTCCCGCCCAAAAACGTTTGCGCGAAAGACCCCGCGGCGGCCCGCGACTCTTTTTGACCCAACTGCGCACGGGTCCACTCCGAGCCTCGGCCTCGATTCTTAACGTGTGCCGAGCGGACTCGGTCGCACCCGAAAGACGCGGCGACGGCTTCTTTGCCCGGCGTTCGCCTCCTCCTTTTCCGACGGGCCGTCTGAGCTTCGCCGAATGGCGTCAAGTCGTAAATTAGGCCAGGCGGGCCGTGCTTCCAGCATGCGAAGACGGGAGCCTCTTCATTCCCGGATGCCCTCCGTCCTCGGCTGTGACAAATTGGCCACGCGCGAGCGGCATTTTCGGTCGTCGCCCCGCTCTCGCCCCCAGCGCGTCTGTCAATCCTCAGGCTTGATCATTTCATCTCGGGAATTATTTATGGCTGTGATTCAGGGGGGGTTCTCATGTCGTGTCCAAAAGGTACACACCTCGGCGGCTGGGGCCAGCGCGGCCCCATCTTGCCTTTCACACGCTTCTAAAATGCTCTCCGGGCAGAGGCTGAAAGGGTTCCTGTTTGCCAAAGTGCTTCATTCTGCGCAGTGGAGAGGGGGCGGCCGAGTGGCGCCGTCGAGTCACGGACGCGCTTCCGAAAAAACCAGCAAGAAAGAAGCTGACAGTCAGGAAAGCGGCCCGCCCCCACCGCCCCCCCTTGGTTTCTTTTTTTTCAACTGGCACGCTGCCGTCGCTCTTCCCGGCCTCCTCTGCTCCCCCCCAATGACTCCCTGTCACAATCACCGGGCGGCAAGTGTCAAATCAGGCCGCAAATGCGCATTTTGCGCGCGCGCGCGTGTGTCCTGGAGCGCCTCGAAGCTTTTGGGAGTCTATTTCAAGCCGCGATTGCGTCGCTCGCTTAGTCATTCCACATTGAGCTCGTCTCTCTTTCATGTTTCGCTGTTAGAACAGGGGGGAGGTCGGGGGGGGGGGTTGAGC